TGTAAAATCTTTTCATAGCCCTAACATTCAAATGTATCCCTTTATAAAAAGACATTTTTATGTAATTGTTTGGTGTATGATACAGTGAATTTAGTGCGTATATTATTGTTACATTTAGGCTGGAGGTAAGGCGAGAAATTATTCCGCTTCCCATTAATCCTATAATCCAGTTAATACTGTAGCTTCAGCTCCCGGCTGTCTTATGAAATACAGACCAGTTGACATCTGTATTGCCACAATGGAGTGTCTCATTCTTTGGTCTTGTATCAGCAAATGTCACTTTGTATTGAGGTTTCCTACCACGGCTATAAATCCTGGGGGAAACAGGCTTTCACAGAGAAGTTTTATGGCACGGAGACTTCCCTTCCCTTCTGCAGGGGGTATGGTGCTTTACACCGTGTGTTGGTGTGTCACAGTCCTTTTAACTGGCTACGTCCCCAAACCATTAGTATTTTTCTGTGCAGCGTCATTCAGGTGTTTACTCAGAGATGTTTTGATGAGACAGGAAGTGTGGCATGCAGGCTGGTATGAAACAAAGATGTGATAAACTAATGCAAATGTTTCCATCTGTGTTTACTGAGGCCTGAATGCAGCAGTGGAAGAAGTATATAGATCTTTTTCTTCAGTAAACGTAACAATACTAAGGTGTCAAAATACACTGAGCTCTTTGAAATGGACCATTTTACTTTTGAAACTTCAGGTATGTTTTTGTTGATATTTTTGTGTCATCAGCTGACAACATTTTGATAGAAGGATATGGAGTATTTTTAGATCATGGTCTTTCTATTTTTACTTCTGAAGAGGATGTGCATACTTCTTCCACCTCAGAAACTGTATTTTGAATGTAGGATAAACAGAAGAAAACATGCTGCAGAGATAAGTTATTGTTTTAATCAGCAGTGGAGGAAGTACTCCGACCTTCCACTTAAGTAAATGCAGCTATACTACAGTGTAAAATACTCAGTCGGGAGTAAAAGTCCCGCATTAAAGTACAAAAGTAAAGGGCAGCACAGTAGCTCAGTGGGTAGAGCTGGTGTCCCATGTACAAAGGCAATGTCCTTGCCACAGCGGCCTCGGGCTCGGCTCCAGCCCATGGCCCTTTGCTGTGTGTCATCCCCTCTCTCTCTCCCCCCTTCACGCTTAATCTGTCCTGTCCAATAAAGGCATAAACAGCCCCCCTCCCCACCTCCCAAAAAAGTACAAGAACATTTGCATCATACTTAAGGTGACATAAGTGAAAGTACTCGTTATGTGGAATGACCCATGTCAGAACAAAACATATAATATCAGCAGGTAAGCATCACTGATTGTTGCAACTGGTAAAAGGTGGGGCTAATTTCATCAACTTTAGGCCATACTGCCGATTATCATAGGCTGATGTCAAGTAATTTGAGACACTTTTTGGTAGATGACCAGGAAAAACATCAAAACTCTGATTATCTTGAATGTTACTTTAAGAACTTTTTATGGATCTCTGTTATAATTCTATGTAGAAAATATACTGCCAGGTAAAATAATTTAGAGACTTAGGAAATTCACTCCTGTGACATGTTCAGGTAAAATGGGACAGTCAAGTTTGTTTGTGTTTTAAATGGTTAAATCCATTTATTAGTTCAGTCATTGATTCATTAAATCATTGATGTAACCTGTGGCTACTCATTAAAAAAGATTGTCCAACTTTTCTGCCGTGCTTTCCCTGTTCTCTTTGCTGCCTGTTGCTTTGGTGCCACATCGTCTACAGTGGACATGCTTGTGTGTGTGTGCTTGCATGTGTGTAACAGTTACAGCTAATTCTGGACTATTTCAGCTGACATGGACTCACTACATCATCTTAACTATTTTTTAGGTGACAAAAATAATATAAATGTCTGTAATAGGCTAGAACAGGGTGACACACAATAGCATAAGTCATTATTTTATGGCACACTGAAGCCTAAAAACATTCTGATTTCACCTCAAAAGTCCCATTTTAATTTTCTGGGACAGAAAAGTATGCTCACTCGAGACCATTACTATAAAAAGTAAAGTGTATTCTGAAAATATTTTGATTATAAGTCAAACAGTTAATATAATGCAACACCTTACAACCATATTGTTGTTATACCTGTACTGCTTTGGCTGTAGTGCTCTTATTACCAAAATGTGAAAATCAACATGGCTTTCCTTGAAAGATCTGGGACCAGTGGATTTTTGAATCTTTGGTGTATCCTTACAAGTTATCTCAGACCAATAAGAATGATTGTTTCATGTAAAGCACATTTGTAGTAACAATGCAATAACACGTTTGATGATTAGTGGCTAATATTTAAAAAGCACAATCCTCATGTGTCACAATACGCTGACTTCACCCCTATGACCAATACTATCATGTAAAAATACCCGACTCTTTAACAAGTAAAACTCCTGCATTCAATATATAATTTCATCAGTGGCTGAGGAAGTTTTCAGATCCTTTACTGGAGTAAAAATAGAAACACCGTCATCTAAAAATACTCCATGCTGATGACACAAAAACATTATCAACAAAATGTACCTTATATAATGTAACTTATATAATTTATTGGAGTGGAGCTAATTTACTGCTGGACAGCTTAACCTGTAATAATATATTGTTATTTATTAATTGATATCTAAATCTACACAGTAACTAAAGCTGTCTAAGAAATGTGGTGGATAAAAAATACAATATTTGCCTCTGAAATGTAGTGAAGTAGAAGTATAAAGTGGCATGAAGTGGAAATACTCAAGTACAAGTGTCTAAAAGTGTACATAGTTCTATGTTTATTTTTACCTTTCTTTGCTCATCTTTGTTGTACTTTGTTTTTTGCTGTATGTGTATTTCTGTCTTCCTGTAAATTGTGTGTAAGCACATAGAGATAAACTTAAGACCGCAGTCATATTCCTTGTATCTGTACTTAATAAAGCTGATTCTGATATTTTACAAACTCCTCATATGGTTTACGCATAAATTCTTAACCTGAGAAATAGTTAGTAACCAATGCTTTCAAATAAACGTAACAGAGTAAAACCTACAATATTTCTTGTTGAAATGCAGTGGAGATTAAATTTAAAGTATACTTGTTTCGGTTATTCACATGGAAAAGCTGTGGTTTAATCATCCAACATGTGAACGTAAATGGGAAGAATCTTTGGGTCCTCTTTTGCAATATCTGGACTCAATGAGTGCATCTGGACGAGGACCACATCTGGATATACTTATTAACCGCTTGTTTTCTGTTTATCCTTTATGATTTACTTGTTCCTGCGTACTCTTGTCTGTGATGGGCTGTGTTTGATAATCATGCATGGATGATATGTATTGCTATGTGCTTTTGTGTTATTAACTCTTGGCTATGTTGAATTTAGGTGTCAAGATCCCTCTTCCCTCTGTGTGTGTGTGTGTGTTATGCGTGTGTGAGTGTGAGTGTTTGTTTTGGTTGGGATTTGGGTAATTACAATACCAGTGGTAATAAAAATACAGTAATTCAGCTATAACTCAATAAAACAAGGGGTTTGGGAACGAGAAAATGGCACTGCATCAGTTTGTAGAAATATTTCACTTCCATATAGACATTGTATGTTGTTGTGTTTTATATATGTGTGTGTGTGTGTATCTTTGTTTATCTTTGTTGTCCTGTAGAGGATAAAAAATAGATTTGCCTCTGAAATGTAGTTGAGTGGAAGTATAAAGGAGCATACAGTGGAGATAGTACCATCAAGTACCAGTGTCTCTAAATGTACTTAGTTACTTTCCAACACTACTTAAATGACTGAGGACCTGGTTACAATTGTACAACTGTTATGTCTGTAAGTACATAGAGAGCAACTTAACACCACAGTCAAATTTCAGTCAATCTTCTACTATTTCTACTACTTAATAAACCTGATTCTGATCATTTACAAACTCCTTCTACTCCTCCTGAGAAATAGTTAGTAACCATGTTGTTGAATAAATGTAGCAGAGTAAAATATTCTTGTTGAAATGCAGTGGAACTTAAATTTAAAGTAAAGCGTACAGTTAAATTAAGGTGCAAATGCCTCAAAATTGTGCTTAAGTTCAGTAGGCTACTTGAGTAAACTTGAGTACTTAACATTTCAGCAATAAATTACTCTAAATGTTGCTAATAGACTAAACAACACAGTTATTCAGTCATAACTTAATCAAACAAGGCCTTGAGGTACAGAAAAAAACTAAAAGAATTTATATGCACCTTTTTTATCCACTTGTATAGACATAGATCTACATTTGTTGTACATACAATACAGTTTCTTCAATGGAAGAAGTACTCAGATCCTTTTCTGAAGTAAAAACAGAAACACTCCATGTCCTGCACTCATTATGTTGTCAGCTGATGACACAAAAATATTATCAACAAAATGCACCTGAAGTGTCATAAGCAAAATGGTCCACTTCAAAATCATATGTAGGCATATATGTGATATAATTTCTTAATTTATCTCTAGAATGGATTAAAAGTAGTAGTGTGTTCATGTGTTCATCACTTTGATGTTGCAGCTAGTACAGGTGGAGCCCATTTAATGCTGGATATCTTGATCTATAATAATATATCATCATTTATTAGTTTATCTAAATCTGCACAGTAACTAAAGCTGTCAGGGCAATGTAATGGATAAAAAAATACACAATTTGCCTCTGAAATATAGTTGAGTACAAGTATAAAGTGGCATAAAGTGGAAATACTTAAGTACAAGTAGCCCCCCTCAAAATTGTATTTATTAAGTCCTGTACTTGAGAAAAAAGTGGTGATTCCACCACTGGTTTTTAATGTGCTATTCTACCCTGCATGCAAATATTAATATTTGGTGGTTATTTCATTGCAGAGTGGTGAGCAGTTTCTGATATGTGGCTGTAAAAAGAAATGCATGACTGTATTAATGTACACCTACAGTAACAGAGCAGCAGTGTGTGTGTGTACACCTGCATGGACTTCCTCCTGTGCTGCACGGCTCCTGGCTGCTCACAAGTATGTTTGGTCGAAACTGGGAAAGTCGCCCAGTCCTCTCCTGTAGGTTGGACTACACCTGGGACACGGGGCTGCCGGGATAACTCACCGACAGCAGCACTGCGGTAAAACACACCAGAAAGCCTCGGCGGTGTGTCTGCTGTCCCGTGTGTCTGTAGGGAGCTGCTTTTATATAAATCCATAATTCAGTGAGTTCACAGCCATCTCTTTGTCTTAGCTAGCGACACGTTAGCTGCTTCCGGAAAACAACCTTCACACAGGTAAGGCGAGTTTCGGTCTCCACTTGAGCTAATTCTGTCCGTGTGTGTAAAAATACACCAAACAAAGCTGCTTCACCCTTTAATCAGCGTTTAATGCTCGTGTGTAATGGTTAAATAAAGACGTGTTAGGGCAGATATTCACTCAGAAAAGTGAGTTTTCCGAGCTCAAGGTGTGTAGCAGTTAGCGCCTTCTCAGCAGGTTATGAGCCCAAGGTGAAGCCATGTCAGTGTAACGGCTGTATTAACCGTCATACCGTCCATGAAGGCTAACTTTTATTACCTCCTCTGTCATTTGGGTCTGTCACATCGTGCTGTAGTGATTAGGAGCAAAGCAGCAGTCACAGGCTGACAGGGAGAGGGGGCTCTGAGTTATTTATGGTCCCAGTGATAGCACACACATCCAGGCACAGGAGTGAAGTGAGTACAAATGTCCTTGTTGCTGTTGTTCAGCAGCTTTTACGTGTATAATATCACAACTGTGTACAGTTTTGAGTGTACTTTACATGAGTATTTCCCTTAATGCTCCATCTCAAAGGGAAATATTATATATTTTACTGTGCTACAGTTATATGATTACCTACAAAACATATAATCACTTTAAAGAAATATGATAAGCCTGTATTTGATTCCCAGATGTTAAATTTGTTTGTTGCAGCAGCACAAAGGACAAAAATAAACACCCCAGAGAGAGTAAAACATAAATAGTACAAAGGATACAGGCTAAAATAAGAATAGAAGTAAAAATAGTAACTACACAAGAGCAATTGAAGATGCATTTTCAAGGCAAGTGTGTGTGATGTGAAGAGTCAGTAAGTCAGTTTTGTAAATGGCATCAGACTTGAATACAATATGGTGATAATGATACTTAGTGATGTCTATTAACATGGGCATATGATAATAATGTAATATGTGATGTAGTAATAGAGTATAAATGATAGAGTACAGTGATGTAACACAGAGTATCAAACATGGTACAATATAGTATAGTATAAAACAATGGTTCCCAACTGGTGTTGTTCCCAAGTGACTTGCTAATGTATCAACACACTTAATTTTTAATTACAGTGCATTTCCAGCACAGAGCTTTTATTTTGAAGTGCCGTTTCTTGCTGTAGAGTGAGTAAATAACGTAGAGTTACTTAACAGAGACAGCAAACTAGCTTGAGACATGGTCAAACACAAGTATGACGCTGAATATATTAAACTGTGTGTACCTTGAACTAATGACTGAGGAGAGGTCTGGACACCATGGCTGAACCAGTTGCGAACCACTGATATAAAACACAGTTACAAATCAGATACATTTTTATGGATTATACTTCCCAACAGTACATGTTGGTTCAGGTGTGTCTCCACCTCAGCCAGCTACAACATTACAGTGCTGCTTTGCTTTCATATTAGTGCTTTATCAGTAACATTACTGTAGTTAAATACAGACCGTCACTCTGACAGGAACTGTTCTGCATATTGAGTTCATATCTTACGCCTATGAAAGTTAAGGCACTTTGAGTGAGTACTTCTTTCATCACTGGTAAACATGGAAAGAAATTTGGCACAAAAAAATGCTAAAATTGGCTGTCATTTACGCCGCATTTCTGCTCAGCTTGACTTAATGTTTTGTTTTTTCTCATTATCCAAAGTTTTGGATAGTACCTGGTAGTTTTTGGTACCACCTTGGTCGAGGTTCCAAGTGAAAAGGCGGAGTTAAAACATTGCAGATCACAGATTGTTCAGACACAATTATCACTAATGTGTGGCGGGACATCCTGCACAAACTTGCCATTTTGAAATAGGCAAGCTGCTGTCAATAGCAACCAGATTTTTTATATACTTGACCATATCTGATCTGATAAAATGGCAGCCTGCAAAATTACATACGCTGCAATGTAAAATTGACGAAGTGCAGACATTCCTCTGTGAGGTTACTTATGAAAGGATTCAGCAAGTGTCGTGCTGAAGATGACGTCACCGCAGTTTCACGCAGTGTCGCTTTGGTAATCAGTTCAGAATCCCACCTACACTGAGGGGATACTGTAGAACGAAATAAAGAAAAGCACCTGTTACCAAAAGTGAGCCGAGTAGAGTTTAGTCGAACCGAACCATGCAGTGGAAATGAGACTGAGATCATGTGCAGGTATGCAGTTACTTCACAGATCTGCCTTCAAACTGACTCCTTTTGTACTTGAGTAGTTTTCAACAAGCGTAATCCGACGTCCACTAATATAGTCAAGCAAAAGTACTCCTGTTTTACCAAAGTATTTTAGTATTTTATACTATGTGTAGTTGCTGTTGCAGGTATGCAGACAACAGTTTGTGTTGAATCTGAATTGTTGTGATAAAGCAATACAGTGTGAAAGTCACTAAATGCATTTTGTCTGTTTTGGAAAATCCAGATCCCAACCAGCCATGTTTGACCTTTCATCTGTTTTTGAGTAAAATCAATCATCAGCTGAGTGATAACACTCTTCTCTGTTTGTGTTGGCTGGTTCAGTGACTTTCACCATAAGAAAATGTGCAGGGGACTTTTGTTTTGGGTTTACTGTTACCTTCTGCCCTTCACGGTGAACACAAAGGCAACATCCGTGTCTGATAATAAGTTAAGAGTGGTGTTTGTTTGGTATGTGAAGGCAGGCTATTGTGCAGTGGGAGGCTCAGCAGCCCTGTGAATATAAGCTTAACTTCAATGTGTGACATGTCGGCGAGACACTGGTACCACACCACGTGTGAGTCTGCAGCGGGGCTGAGAACTCAGCTGGTTTGGTTGTTCGAAAGTACAAGCTGGAAACAAGTCAGAGTAGAAAACACTCTGGGGAATAAGAGTTTGAAATCGCTCTCAGATGGGTGTTTTTGTTGTTTGTGTTGTTGATCATTTCGTGCATACAAATATGCAATGCAAATATTGGTTGTATTTAAAGCAGCTTTTTGACTTTGCATGCTGCATCTACAGCAGTTACATAATGTTCAAACAATGCCTTAAAATAGATTTTATTTCAGTAATAGATGCATGTGTAACTCTAGTGATAAGGAAAGCGTAATTGGTGCAGCCATAAAAGCGTCATCTTGGACATGTTGGAGGTTTTCACTTGATTATGTCACACTCAGACACTGATGATAAAGAGTCATTTATCTCTGAGTAGTAAACTGATTAATTTTCCAATTCATGTGCAGTTTTTTTTTTTTTTTTTTTTGATCTTAGTAGTACCAGACATGCATAAGGCCAGGGTAGACGTGACACACCTCCGGTCTCATGGACTCATGGGGAAATTATTTGTCTAACAGGGCTTCACCTGCGTCTAATGAAGGTGTGGCAACACATGTGACTCACTCACATCGACCATCAAAGCGAGTGATTTGGCTCGGCTTTGAAGGAACGCCACCACTGGTAATCCACTGGGAGACTGGAGGATACTGTAGGGCCACAGACATTTCCCTCCAAAGCTTAGACTGTCACATGATTACAAAGCATTTGATTTGGATAAAGGCGTTCCCTCAACAAGGCTGGTCTCATTGAGCAGGGCTCAATACGACCAGTCTAGTGTTGAGCTTTGGTTGGCTGTAAACGTGTAAAAACATATTTCATCCCATCCGTTGCAAAACTGTCTTGTTGTTCTAGTTTTACCAACAAGGCTGGGAATGTTTATTTAAGTTTGGGATAACTGAAAAGTAATTTTCTGCTCTAGTGTAGAATTAGGAGTAATTTATATCTGTGTAATTGTGCTAGTGATGTTGAAATAGATGAATTAATGATACAACTAGACTTGGGACAATATGAAAATTTCATAACACCATTATCCTGGCCAGAATAATTTCGATTGATGATATTATCGTAATAATCTTCAAAATATCCTTACAACTCTTAAAATGGCATTAAAACATACGATTCACTTTACCTTACATTTTGTTTGCAGAGTCTCTTTATCGTTGGTTGCCCAGCGGTCTCTTAAGTTCTGCTAGACACAATATTCACAATTATCCCTATAATGGAAATTCATGATGATCAACCTATTGTGAGGGATTTTCATGATAATCTGTGATAAAATCTTGTATCATGCCATCCCTATAGATACAAACGTTCTCAAAGAAATTCAAAACTATAGGATTTCCTTTGAAACAGTAGACGACTGAAATGAAAATGAACACATATGTTTTGGAGGACTGTAAATAGGGCTAGGTTTTGGTACTTATGACCCTGTACCAAGCGGTACCAAATTGTCTCCTTTTTTGCGCCGTGGGTCTAATCTTGGACCGTCCAGACTCACTGCTAGATCAGCAAACCTTCTTGTTGCTGAAGTCTCTAGAGCTGCTGTCCTCAGCTAACGGACAGTTCATCGTCTGCCTGGTTAGCATGAGCTAACACAGCAGTAGCTAACATGCTGCATCACAAACTAACACCAACACCAAACTTCTCAACTCTGTCGTTATACCCGTTAACCGTTAACTAAGATTTGCCATGTGATGCTAACATTTAGCTCTGTCACTGCATGTTTGCAGGCAGACTCTTGTAACTGTCCCCATAGCAAGGCTCACACTCCTGCAGCAACAGCTACAACCTATACAGTCTGTGGTAAGGTGAAGTTGAGGGTGGTGTATTTGATGGAGTTGGCAGTTCAGTGTACAGATTTGCTACCAAGATATTCAAAAGTATGGCTATACCACATGGCACCCATTCACAAGTACTCCATATCAATATCAGTTTAAGGGTACAAGTATCAGTACTACTATCATAATCTTTTAAACAATACCTAGCCCTAACTGCAAGAAATAATTATTTTCATCATTGCTTTTTATGAGTTAATTAATATTTTAGTCAAAAAATAATTAAAAAAAATGTCCCACAGCCCAAGGTTACATCTTCAGATTGCCCTTTTTCTGCGACCAACACTCCAAACCCCATAGGTAATATGGTTTAGAGCTACATCTAACAATTATTTTATCATGAATTTATCAGCCAGATATTTTGTCTATTAATCATTTGGCCAATAAAATTTCAAATATAGTGAAAAATGCTCCCAGAGGTGACGTCTTAAGTCTTGCGTGACGTTATTTGTATGACCCAACAGTCCAAAGCCAAAGATACTCACTTTAGATTGATATAAATCATAGACAGCAGCAAAGCCTGCATTTAAATAGCTGTGTGTAGTGAACTGAAATTATTAACCAACCAATCGAATAATTGTCTCTGCACTACACAGTCTCCATTTCAGAGGATCCCAAGAAATATGAGCACGTGTTATTGATGTCACACTGTATCCTTGAGAAACATGGAGTTATATACTGCTGTGTCAGTGTGGTGATGGTGGACATTGATAGATGGCTTCAGAGCTAACCACCTTCAGACAACATAAACAGGAGGGTACCAGTAATCTCCAGGGTCGTTGTACATCTTCCTGTGAGGATGACCTCTGCTCTAATGAAGACATGCTTTATCCTCATTGTAACCCATCGGGTGCTCTCTGTGGTCAGCTGTGACTCCCTGCTCGGGCATGTCACCTTATCACAAAGCAAATAATACGCCTTAGTTAGAAAGTGATACGAAACTGGGAATGTTTTGTTGGTAAGAAACCCAGCTGTACGCTTTACTGTAGGGCAGCTGGGTGGATTTAATTTTAGTGTACTGTTTATTTTTTGTTTCACATTCTTGCACCGTGTTGTGTTTCTTTAAATAAATGGAGCGCAGCCTGGTTTCTGCTGTGCTTCCCTCGCTGTGCTACAGGATCCATGACCCCTATCCGTTACAGGACGAGGTATCACTTGTACAAAGAAAAGACAAAGAGGGAAAGAAGGCCTGTGTGACCTCAGCCAGTGTGTATGTATGTGGAGAGACGTGTGTTCACATATTTGTAATGGGGTCGTGTGTGTTTGCAATCAGTCGATCAGCTAAGAGTACTTTACCTGTAGTAGTGCAACATCAGCAGTCTGAGCACCCACCCCCCCAACACACACATACACACACACACATTCACAGGCATTAACAGAGGCAGAAGGAACACTTTCCGCTCACTCTGCCTAGTTACACCAATTCCCCACTGCATTCCTCACACCGGTGCAGTCAGACCTCATACACATCCACGCTCATGCACACCGATATGTGTCCACAGACACACACACAGGCATTATTCTGACGGTGTGCTCCTGGAGAGGCAGGGCTCTGGTTTCATTCAGGCTTCAGGCAGCTCCGGGGTTAGAGTCTCGTGTTTGCGTGCAGTGGCTACCGGGTGCTTGACAACAAAGATATCAGCTCGGGTGAGTTGCTCCAAGGCAGTAACATTGAAGATAATGCAGTCTTTTTGTGCCTGAAATCTTGGACTGAGGTCACATATAGAAGGAAACTGAATGTAATGAGTTCATTGTGGTAGCTTATTGTTTTCTTTTTCATGTGCTTTCAATGTTATTCTTTACTGTTTTGTGCACTTAGTCCAAAGTCATGCCTTTCAAGGTGGTATTTGGAGGTGTTTTGTGAATTTCTGTGGCACTTCAGCCTCTCAGACAGCATGAAGTCTTCTGAAGTGCTGCCTGGGAAAGTGCTCAGCTCAAAACTCCTCACTTATTATCATGCAAAAGCCATTTACTTTAACTTAAAGGAGCAGTGTGGAGGATTTAGTGGCATATTTTTCAGTGAGGATTGGAAATTGAACCCAACTGAAACTGAAGCTTCTCACAAAACTTAATGTGTGCTCACCGTGTTTTTTTCTTACATAACTGAAAATCCAGATGTTCAGGAGGTTTTTGCTGGGAGCCAAATTATCTGCAGAGGTCTCATCCTCTACGAAACAAATGGACCTGGTAACAATAACCGGTAAAAACACAGAGCAAAGCAGTTTCCTGATAAAAATCTGTGTTTTTCCACTGCTGTTCAGCTTGTCAGAGAAAGTGCTGCTAACTATGGTGGCTGATGGGAAAAAGTGTACAGCCCTATTTAAAGGCGGTGATTGTTTTGTCCGTTCTCGGCTACTGTAGAAACATGACAGGGCAGCATGGTGGACTCCGTGAACGAGTACCCACTCCTTATGTAGATATAAACGTCTCATTTTAAGGTAACAAAAACATGGCGATTCTTATTTCCAGGTGATTATACACTAAAGAAAACATACTTATTATATTAACTTCTGTTTTTGCCAATATATCTCCCTAAATTCTACACACACTTCCTGCTCCTAAAAATAATGAGTAATTAATAAATCCATACACGATGCAGTTTATCTTACAAGCTACATTTTATGAGATCTGACTGAACGTATTTGTAATTTAAGATATGTCTTTTTATTTGATTTACTTGTTCATACATGGAGTAAACGACCAAAAGTTTCTGCAAAGAATGCGATCCTAATCAGCGCTCTCCGTATGAGAGAATTAAAGAAGATTAGGAGCTGCACAAAGGGATGGAGACCACTGCCGATTGGGTGCAAGGGGTCATTAGTGATGGGGGGTTGTGTTTCTGCCCACTTCATTCAAAATTCTTACTCTCGTGTAGTGCCATGCCTTTGTTCCTTCCTATTAGCAGGGGTTTGACTTTAGTCAGTTTTCTCTCGCCTCATTTCACAGAGTTTAGCCCCTTCAGTGTGGAGCATGGTGATTTTTAGCTGAGATGAGAATTCCTTTTGTCCCTCAGGAAACTAGCTGAGAGGAAGCAGCTGCGGCTTGCTGCCATATTGCTGCTGCTCTGTGGATTTGTCATTTCCTGTGGAGCTGGCCAGTACGAGTAGGAGCAGTCCAACTTCTGCAGGAGACCTAACTTTGTTTTCTCTTTCAACAGAAAATCACAATGAAGACATGGAGATAACATTTTTGACTCTGGATCGTCAATTCACTTTCACAGTTTGAATGGATTTTAATTTTGGACACGCAGACATAGACTTATGTACCACCCACAGTTCTTGAGGAGATAAGAGGACGCTTATCATTTCCAGAGAAGTTTGGACTGATCATCTTCAGCCAATGGCTACAACAGAAACCAAAGCTGCCGGCAGCAGTAGCACTCCGGGTCTGTCGTGGGCCCGGGTGTGTAAGGAGTGTGGCCAGGTGCACGATGGCCCGGACAGCCACCTGTACGAGTACCAGGATGATGTGGACGATGAACTGGTTTGTCACATCTGCCTGCAGCCCCTTCTCAGACCTATGGACACCCCTTGTGGCCACACATATTGCTTTCATTGTCTGAGCAACTTCTTGAAAGAGCAGGACTTCTGCCCCGTAGACCGCCTGCGGCTGCAGTTGCATCAATGCCGTCCCTCCAGTTTGCTGGTCAGGAACCTGCTGGACAAGCTGATTGTGATGTGCCCCCACTCCTCAGAGTGTCAGCACCAGATGCAGCGCTGTGAGCTGCAGCCTCACCTGCACAACAGGTAAGACTCTGGATGGGATGCTGGCAGGTCATGACAGCAGTTGCAGTGGATATTGTCAAGCCTTTGTGTAAAATGATTGGTAATGCAGTGTGTTATTTTAGATGATAATGCGTCACAACAATCATTAGCAGCCATAAGAAGTAATGTAATCAATGGTTTTGCAAACACTACTTTTTGAACCATCAGCCACCTCTGGTAATACAGTACAGTTTGCTGTAAAAAAATAACCTCAACTTATATATGATTAAGCTGCAGCAGGGAAAAACCTCACACAGTACAATGCAGACATTTTCACCAACAACAGGCTGATTTACAAAGATTTTAAGGTTAATTCCTGGATGATGAGAGATGAAGAGAGGGGGAGACAATACATCAGTATATTTGGAGTCCTGGATTTCATCAATTTGTCAAGAAGCATGTGAAGGCTTTTAGCAGGGATTCAAGGGATTCGAGGCACGAGTTCAAATTAAGGCCAAGGCTTATAAGGCATATCAGGGAGAACCCAGGATTATATCTGAAGAGCTGTATGTTACAGGTAGTACATTATATAACAAGGTGGTTGGCATTTAACCAAAGCAGTGAGCACAGCATAATAATTAATAGCAAGATAACGCTGAATAAAGAAGACATGACAGTGACATATTCCCTCCAGAGTTGAATTACATTGTCTATGAGGTGTCGGACTGAGCCTTACTACAGTTCACTGAAAACAAATCCCACTGGCCGGTTGTGTGGTCATTAAGGGAATAGTTTGACATTTCTAAACAAAACAATCTTTTTTTGAGAGTTAGATAAGAACATTGATATATATCTCTTACTTGCCAATTTAATATGAAGCTACAGCCTGTTTGCTCAGCAAAAAGACTGAAAACATGTGGAAACGTCCACCTTTTTTTTTTGGCTTGTCTGCCTACTTGCACCCTTAAAGGCCTTTACACACCGAGGGGCTTTTTTTAATGCAATTATTTCATACCTCAGTATATTTTATTTGAAGTGACAACTTTTCTTTTCTTAGAATGACTGTCATAAATATTAACAGTAATTAAAACTTTTTTTACCTTAAGGAAAACAATATTCTTACGGTAGTGCACATGTTGAAAAGCCTCTGAGGTTGTCACACATTCAAAATGCAATAAGATGCAAAGAGAAAACAAAACAAAACCGTGCTGTCAAAGCCTAAATGCAACCGGAGCAAATGAGATGAGTGATGAGAAGACAGCAATATGAGTGCGTGAGAGGATGTGAGGCTGTGTAGACACAGCAGCATCAACTTACTGTTGGAGAGAAGAAAGGGCAAGAAAGTGACATTGATAGCATCAATATTGCGGAAAATGAGAATTAAAACAGTTTCAAATATTCAGAGTCGATATGTATTGATAAATCGATATTTTTATCAACACTAGTCATGAGTGATTTGAAACAAACGTGAATAGTACACTGTGAAACACTGCCATCATTTTTTTTTCCAGAACAAGATCAGTTTTTCAGAGCTTTCGCACAGCAAATAAAGGCATCATTACACTGCGCCTATACTTATGAGGATTATGAAACAACAACAAGATGGCTCCATAGCCTGAACAAAGATGAATCTTTTACTTCTGACAAAGGCAGCACATACCAGACTCACTCCTTCAATTCCTACATTCCACAAAAGCCCTGCACATATAAACTGTGTAACTGTCGACCAGAGGGAGCTCAGATTCACTCAGAACATGAAACTCAATAAAATAGCTTACAGTAGTCACAGCTGTACAACAACTTACTTCAGACAGACACTGCTCTGGGTCAGTAGGATCCTAGTAGTTGTTGCAAATTTGCATCGCTGCCGGCAAACCTATTCACATCAAAATCTTTTATTGAACAAGCGTTGCTACTGATGCAAATTCACATCCCTGCTGGTATGAGTAGTTTTGCTGTGAAATATTCGCAGGGTAGTATTTTGCATTGTTATGTCATTAATTCGCTACCCCTGGCTTGCTTGTACAGTCATGAGGGTGGTATCAATATTTTCAGGTAGCTCTCAGCAAAAAGGTGACAAGTGTTTTTCCCAAAATGTCAAACTATTACTTAAAGTGGAGACATTTGATTGTAAGCAACTGGTACCTGCATACACACACAGTGCGTGGAAACATAAGATCTGAAGTTTAAGTCAAGACAAAAGAAGCCTGACTACTTCTCAGGAATGTAAAATAACTGTCATCAAAACTGATCGTTTCTCCTCTACGTGCTCTTTTAAAGGCTGTGTTTTCCCCTTTTTTTAAGGCTGAACCATTCATTCCTGGTAGCTCAGTCTCCCTCTTTGAACACTCTAACTTATAATTATTGAGCTCAAGGCGAGGTGCAGGTCAGTCGATGTGTTTTTCACATGGCCAGTGTGGCGCTTATCTTCAGGCATGACGCAGTCGGTTGTGGGCAGCTCATAGTCCTGCTGCAGCCTCTCTGTGCAAACAATGAGGAGACAAAGTTCAGGGCATGAGGAACAAGCAGCAGTCCCAGCACTCTGACTGACTTAATCAGACTCAACTTCTCACCCAGACACTCTGCAATGCAGTGGAATTGTCTGCTCATCTGCATAGTGCTTCTCTTCTGAAACCTGTGCATAAATACTCTCTTCTTGTGTCCCCTCAAAACACTTTTAGCATCCATTTTCTTTCTCTCCATCTCTGTGTTCATTCATCTCTGGCACACCTTCCATTTCATCATAAAGATTGTGTTCTCTCCAAAAGAGTAAACTCACTGGTCGATCATCAGCCATATCATTCTCTTTACTACTTTCCTTTATGTTCCTGTCTTTCCTCAGATGTCCCGTTTTTAGAAGACTGAGGGAAGAAGCAGAGAAGAGGAAGAGGCCCTCGTGGAATGAGCTAAAGGGACGTAAGAGTGACGGGGAGTCGTCTGGTGATGCTAAACATTCAGCAACGCTGCCCCGAAATCCCACCAGAGATCAGCCTGAACCTGGGCTCATTAATCCTGCCTATGAAGAAAGTGAGGAAGGTATGGAGTCATTTAACTGTACTAAAAACCACCATTATATCGGTGATTCAATCCAAAGAGTCTGTTTTCTGAACAAGCAACAGAGCACAAGTACAGGGACTTCATGTTTTCTTTGTACCTATGTACACACATATATGGTAGCTGACCAGTCCCCAAGTCACGCCCCAATTAGTTAGTGTAGCTATGTTGGACAAGCTAGACAAAAAAAAAAACATGGCGATGACGGTATCGTCTAGCTGGGCGCTGCTTCAAGAAGCCAAAAGCAAGGACTACAGTATGCGAGGGATATATTCACAGAAGTGTTGTGTATGTCTAAATAAAAAGCACCAAAAGTGAATTCAGAGTGGCCTTTTAGAGATAATACAAACTAAGGAACATTAGCCTTGATTTCTGGCTAACGATGATTCACATCATTGTGAAAATATGTCAGCCAACCAACCTATCTGTCATTGTTCAAATCTTTTTAATATTACTAGAGACATCTGGAGAAAGCAAACCTGGCTGACGTTGGTGATCTGACATTAGGCTAACTCGTTTTGATGTAGCTATGGGTCAACTAGCTAGTTAGTGAGTGTTTTGCTAACATTAGCTATACAATATAATGTGACAGTTCCCCAGCCACATCTTTAAACAATGTTTAAAAGTTTTCTTCTTAATATAGATGAGCCCTGCACGTAGCAGAAATAGCTAATAGGAAAGAGGAAATATGACTGAGGTCCTGCCAAAGCTTGCTGAACTGTTACTGGAGCACGTAGCAAAAAGGGGCGGGATTTAGTAAATGCTAAAATACCCACTTCTGTGGAAAGAATTTGCAGTAGCAGGCTGGACAAATCCTGTGACACTGAAAAATGTGTCTCACTGTAATAGCAGTGATACTAAACATCCATCCCATAGCCTAAATCTGGCCCACAGTAGGTTGCGGGGTGGCCCGCTGAACATTTTCTAACTCACAATAAAAATAAATTAATTCACACTGGTTACCAGAGTGCACAAAAAAAAACCTTCAAAACAGAGCTTGTTTATCCAAAAGGGGCCAGGGGAGGATCTTATTGAGCCCCCTGACAGAGGTCCCGGCTAATTATGTATATATCAATTATTAATATTTGTTTGTTAACTGGACCCTGACCTCCTTATATTTTCCAAAAGTGGCCCCCAGGCAAAGTAAGCTGAGTAACCCTGTCCTAGGCTGAACGGAAATAGTTTCCTTGCTTAGGGTGAAAACCGTAATCCTTGTTCCCGTCACCTTCAGCGGGAGTTGGTTGTCGAAAACACCCAGACGAGGATCGCTGATGTTTTTAGCCTGGAGGTTTTGAGGAGCCTGTCACAGGTGAATCATCAGCCAAGTCGTTGAATGTGTAGCCGCTCACAGATGAGGTAACCAGACAGTCTCATTGCCAGGAAAAACTCTTACAACAACCTGCAAGACAGAACCAGGGACCAGAATTCACTGAAACATAGTTGCCAGGCAACTGGTAACCAGTGTCCGCAGAGAAGTTTGTATTGTTGTCACTATAATCTCAATTTTAATCAAATTACTGCTGTATGCCAAGACCGAAGTGAAATACAATGAGCTGTCACTTTTAAATGTACAATTAAGCTTTTTATTTATTGATTTTTGAATTAAATTTTCACATTTATGTAAATGTCAGCATGTTGACTCATCCAGTTTATACAATCCCTTGAATTCATGCCTTTGCAATGCTTGTTGAATTAAAAAGATTGGTAGCATTGTCGAGAAGTCAGCTGTAGCATGTGGATACCTGTGCTGCTGGTGTGTGCACACTAAATCAGTCCCTAGGTTGAGATATTGTGTGCGCTTCAGTGTGTTAGAAGTATTTTATTGGGATGATTACAAGTTGCTGTGTGCTCTGCTTCACTCCTTTTCTTATTGAGTGTTGCAGTTCGGTGTGTGCTGCTAAAGAGAAAGTCACCTAAAGTTCAAAAACTGGTTATTGTTTGACACGGCATTATGTAATTTAATACATGTCTGTACTGGTGAAGGTGTACTGTAGATAAATAGATAAAGTTTTGCGCTGTGTGTGTTCTGCTGGAAGTTAAATGAGAAGATCAATATCTGTGAATGCATTAATTTTTCCATGAGGCTTATTGTCTGTGAGGGATATCATTAACAAAGACATGAAACATCTCTTTTAAGTTCTTATTACATAATAACCGTGACTTGTTGTCAATATAAAGTAGCAGTAACTCCCTTGTGCTGTTTTAAAAGATAATTTAATTACAACATGGGTCGTATTTTTATAGTTTTAGCCACCATTGCTACAAGTTACAGAAACATTGTTCTCACTAAAGTACGTGCTTAGATCTTGGAAACATGGTGACATCACTACCAAGAAGTCAGGTGGGGCAGGAAACACAAGCAGTCAGATAATCAGAGAAGCTGTAAACAGCACACAGTAGCCACATGACTTACACCACTTTATTTGGTTGGTGAAAGCGAAAGTTATGGCGCCTGAATTGTGTGAAATAAAAACCTCCTTGCACGGGAGAGCTGTGTGTCCTGTCCCCCAGTTGAACACAGAAGTTGGTCTGTAAAATGTGATAATATTACTTTTTCTTCCACATGAGTGTGACCAACTTTGGAGTTTGTTTAAAACTTGTATGGTTGCCTGAGCGTTTCTTGCCCTGTTGGAATAATTTGTAGAGATGTTGCACTCCCAGATATAATTAGCTCATAAACTTGAAGAGTACAGTGTTATAACTCCTGGTAGGAATGATGGCTGCTGCAGTGACATTTACGATGCTTTCACACCCAACCTGTTTGGTTCAGTTTAAACAAACTCAGGTGTATTTACCCCATTATTATGGTTCTTTTGGGCTGATGTGAAAGATGTTAGTTGAGCCCTGGTGAGGATCGAACACTGAACTGAGACTGCCTGAAAAGGTGGGTGTGGGTTTGTCTCTAAACACACTCTGGTGCAATTTGTTCATTGTGTAAAAGAAACCATTTTAGCATGACTTAAAAAACGTATAAATCCATCTGCTGATCGTGAAATCTGTTTAGGACGCGATCCTATCATTGATCTGTATAGAGTGCTCCAGCAATGAGTCCTAAAACCCGTAAATGAGTTTGCATTTTACCACTCACAGTTCCCTGGGTGTTTGGTTAGATGTCTAAAATAGGGTTAATACAAGCTTAAGAGGCTTTCACATTTTGTTCTATGACATGAAATTCATCATCAAATACCCCACTTGTGAACTTTGAAGCTTCTATGTGTTTAAAGAGGCAGTTGCTATCAAGCGGCCAAGTGAGACTACAGAACGTCATCACGCTGAGCTGCACCAAACACATCTCTACAGTTTTGTTAAAGTGGTGACATTAGGTCATGTGACTATGGTGTAGTTTGTTTATAGCCTAACCTTAGCTGTTTACCTAAGGCGATTGCATTTGGGCTTCAATATTCATGAAAGTGGTGTTCATTTGTGACGATTATCTTGCAGAACAAAACATGTAAATATCATAAACTTTTGGTTACTTCTGAGCTTATTTTCTGTAATAATCTAAAATCCAATGGAAAAATCCAGTTGGCTTTTTGACAAGGGAACCAGTGCCATGCTAATTTTAGCGTCGGCCTACAGAAAAACGTTAACCCTGGAGCACTCTATGAGGCTATGTATATAACCTGTTAATGCAAATCATTTGGTTACCATGGTAACACATCTGCATGTCAGTGTTTTCACTGAGTAATAGGTCAAAAGCTGTTGAAACTGCTGTGCTTGTACCCAACTCCTTGTACTTTATTAGCCCTGAATCATTACTGTACAAGATGCCTTCTATTCGTCCTGTCTCTGTTCGTTAGTCATTATTTATAAAATGCGGTTGTGTTGCAGTCAAATAATACTGATAATGCTCATAATCAGTGAGCTCTCTGTAACACCAAAGAACATAAATATACACATCTGAAGCACTAAAGTGCTGCATAAATTTATGTCAGTCACCGGAATTTGATTTCCCCACATGATTCCTGATGAAGCATGATGTCAATCACCAAAACTCTCTAATTAAGGAGTTACCTGTCAGTCTGTATAAGTTCATGTTTACTCCCCTTGGTTTCTTTGTATAAAGTCAGCTCGATCAAGAACCGCACCAGAACTAAATTAAACAATGTATAATTTTTTCCTTGTCCTGGACCAAAGAACCAAACTACAGGTGTGAAAGCACCCTTAAATTAATTACTACATACTGTATGCCTGTCAGGTATTTAAAAGGTGCAGTCAGCCAACAAAAGCCGAGGAGTGGGAGTATTTGCTTCATAAACATTAGTATTTATTCCACTTGGTTGTCTATTCATCTTCCCTCCAGACAACACCCCCCTGCGGTCCAGTCTGGTGGCTGAGGCCAACATGGTGGAGCTGTTCAGAGAGGAGCCAGAGGAGGAGCTGGGCCTTCGCATCGTGGGGGGGAAAGACACACCACTGGGGAACATAGTCATCCAGGAGATTGTCCGGGACTCGCTAGCAGCTCGTGATGGCAGACTGGCCCCGGGGGACCACATCTTAGAGGTGAGCACAATGAATCATCTCCTCTTCAGCACGGGAATTCAGACAAATCCCAGTTGCGAAGCATGACACAGATCACTTCAGCATATTTTTGCATAAACACTTTGTCATTGCATTCCCATAGTATTGTAAACACAGAGCCTTGTGGCGAGGAATGGGAAGGTTGATATGCAAGTTAAACAAGTTTTAGCTCCATGGTAACAAGGCGTGGTTAAAAATTCTCGGGCCCAACACATCGGTGTCAGTGTGAGCAGCTTTACCTGACTATTGTTGTCATGGATTGACTTATCACATTTCTGTGTGAGAGGTGTTCAGACATGAATAGGATTAAAATTTAACCTGTTGTTTTTGAAACAGTTACAGAAACATAGTTATTATGAAACACTGAGATGAGGTTTCTGGTAGTGGTAATAATTTATTGTGCCGCTAATGATTCTTTTCATATTCAATTAATCTTCTGATAATTTTCTCAATTTATAGATTGATTGTTTGGGCTACAAAACATCAGAAAACAATATCACAGAGCAGGGCTATTCAGTTACAAACTCAATTGGGCTGAATATATCGCAGGGGGGCTTTAGCCTATCCCAGCTGACATCAGGCGAGAGGCAGGGTACACCCTGGACAGGTCGCCAGACTATCGCAGGGCTGACACATAGAGACAAACCATTCACACTCACATTCACACCTACGGACAATTTAGAGTCACCAATTGACCTAATCCCCAATCTGCATGTCTTTGGACTGTGGGAGGAAGCCAGAGTGCCCGGAGAGAACCCACGCTGACACGGGGAGAACATGCAAACTCCGCACAGAAGGGCTCCCACACCCGGGATTGAACCGGGAACCCTCTTGCTGTGAGGCGGCAGTGCTAACCACCACACCACCGTGCCGCTGAATATAAAAACCAGGAAATATAGATGGGCCAGTCATTTCCAGCAGCCTATTTAAAGCAGTTATTTTCCTTTTGGTAATGACAAATTTCACACAAATTAAATGAACATATTAACAAAATAGAAATGTTCGTCATTTCACCTTTGAAATAAAAGGCAACAGTCACATATTTAACCCAGGCACATCACACAGTGCAGAAACACAATAAAAAAGCGCTATCAGTACATAGAACCATAACAAGTGGCAGTAATAGTGACCAACAGTGTCTCCTCCCTCTCCCCCCTCTCTCACACACACACACACACACACACACACACACACAGACACACACACACACACTTCACCTCACCTCACCTCATGTCGTTTTAAATGGAGGTCAAGGAAAAATGTTGAGATTAAGGATGTATTTAAAAATATTTGATCACAGCCCAGGTGTTTAAAAAAGATACTGAGCATGGTCAGAGCTGTTTCACATGACCCTGATTTGTAAAAGATATGATTGGTGGTGTCACTACATCAATCTGTACATCCTACCCAATTCGTACTGTGCATATGTAACTCAGCAGAGATGGGAAGAAAGTGAGGTGGCTCACTCTTTGGCTACTTTTAGACACTATATATGTAGGGTACATATTTTGTCATATAGCATAAAATCAGATTTATGTAGTCTATGCTGGGCCACTCGGAGCTTGCTCTTGGGTCAGATGTGGTTCGCCAGGCTGCCAGTTGAATAGGGCTGTCATAAAGCTCAATGTGACGTCATCAAGTGTCTTGTTTTGACTTGCAATGTAAGACCTTAAAAAGCCACAAAATCTTTAATTTGAAATCCTGGAGTCAACAAATGTTTGGCATGTTTGCTTGAAGGATTACAAGCAGTTAATTGATTATCAAAGTAGTTGCAATTCAGTTTCTTTCAATAGATTAATCGTCTAATCTTTGCAGCTCCATCACCACTTTTTACCACAATTTTATAGACATTTTATCAACATGTTAGAGGTCAGTGTTAACTGACCCGTGAAAATTTTATATGTATTTATGAACTTTTTTGAGTATGGTTTATTTGCAGTACGAGTTTAGGTTTCCACAGAGGAGAATGGAGTTGCAGAATATAACTGACGATTTTAATAAGTTGTGGCTTCCTCTCCTCCAACAGTGTCCTCCTCCTTGTATTTCTTCCCTCCGGTTCTCCTGGAATGCAGCACCGCTGTAAGCCGAGCTTACAGACTATTTCAGATTCGGCTCTGGCAGCCCTGCCTCAGTGTGTCCTCCAAAATCTAGCTTTCCCTTCCGAAGCCAACCAATCACAAACCTGAATAAGAAAACAAAACCTGCCGTCAAAAAGGCTGCCTCCAGGATGTGAAACATTAGCTGGAGATTTTTGGCTGCTTGGAAAGGTGGTGGATGTAAAGAGATACCGTGGAGACGAGCGAAGTTGCGTCATTCAGATCTTGAAACTCAGTCTTTCTCTTCCCTTTGAATCGATGCATTGATTTTTGTGACAGCTTAATTTCACATCAGAATAGTGAGGTAAATATTTCTTTGACAGGCTCTTATTTTAAACAGAAGAGGCAAGCTGATGTTGTCTTGTAACAAGTATTTGATCTGATTCTGTTGCAGGAGATACAGATATGATATAAAAGTGAGATGGCACAAATAAAACAGAGCTTTAAGTTTTAACAACACATCATGGTGCCACTTTATGGCGTTTACAGAGTTATCCTGGAGGAAAAGGAACACAATAAGTTATTCCCACTTTTCTGCTCAACAAAAAGTGTGCACTGTAACGTTTGCATTAGGCTGCTGCACCACTGACTGTTGTCTCTTCTCTCCACGGTGTCATGTCTCCAGGTGAATGACATCAGTCTGGCTTCAGTCCCCCACTCTCGGGCCATCGCAGTGCTGCGGCAGCCTTCCCTCCTCCGGCTCACTGTCATGCAGGAGAAAGGCTTCAAAACAAGGGATCCACGTTCCGATCATCACCCTTCCTCCAGTACCACATCCACTGCCTCCCAGTCCTCTCACAGTCCCCATGGCAACGCTACCTCCAATCACAACCCGGGCACAGTCCTGCAGGTGACACTCATGAAGAGTCAGCGCAGCGAACCGCTCGGCATCAAACTCATCCGCAAATCGGACGAGAGCGGAGTTTTCATCCTGGACCTGCTGTCTGGTGGTTTGGCAGCCAAAGACGGAAAACTGAGGAACAATGACAAAGTGCTGGCCATCAATGGACACGATCTGAGGCACGGTACACCTGAGAGTGCTGCCCAGATCATACAGGTATCTTAAAGGACATGTACATTAACTAGAAATAACACCCAACATTATCATAAACCATTTTCTATGACTTTAAAGACTGCTTTCCTTTCTTCCAGGCTGAGTTTGTTTGGTATGTTGAACATTTTGTTATTGTGATAGTTTAGCTGTGAGCATGGACTAGTTTGATCCTATCTGTGCTGCTGCATTTAGGGAATGCAGCAGGATTTTGAGGGTGGTTTCCAGAAAGTAGTGCACTAACCTTTTACTAACCTTGTTTTCCAGCACATTTGTGACAATAAAGGTGACACCAGTTAAAAAAAAAAAAGAAAGCCATTCTTGTTTACTGTAGAGCGATGTACAGAGTTCTGGTCCACCAGCAATGGGAAAGGAGTCTTGCCTATTTTTAGCAGGTTTTCCCTTGATTTGAAAGAGTGGTAGGGACTTGGCTTAGAAACTGGAGGGTGGCCGGTTCAAGTCCCACATGGACCACAGTTCAGAGTGTGGACTGGTAGCTGGAGAGGTGCCAGTTAACCTTGAGAAAGGCACCAAAGCCCCAACAGCTTGGAGCATGTGTGTATTTCAGGCTCATGTGTATAATGAACAAGAACAACAGAGTATAAAAGTTGGATTTCCCCAATGCAGGATTAATAAAAATGTTTGTCTTTAAATTTCTATGAACTGAAGGCTGCCAGGATGGAAGCAAATCAATCTGACAACTCAACAATTATGGCATGATCGGTAGTAGTATAAATGATACGTTGTTGATTGCAGAAAACCTAAACCAAAACATCATCCAGTGATCACAAAATCATATTAGAGTGTTGTATTTGCTGTGGTATTAATTGCTTTTTCTTGTGTTTGTAGGCGAGTGAGGTGCGTGTGAATTTTGTGGTGATGAGACCTGCAGAGACTCAGGAGGAAGGAGGAAGCAGCAGAGAGGGACAACACAGCAGAGCAGCCAGGAGGGCGCCTGAGCCGCAGTACTTCAGGCGCCGGTCCACCTACATGAAGGTCATTTCCTCACAAACTAATGCTCAAACTATTTCTTCAATGAAATATTTTTATCCACGTTCATCCAGGCTCTTGTCAGCTGTTAAATGGTGGAAATCTAGTTTGACTCACTGGGTGTGGACTATGGTTATAAACCATTGGCGGCTGGCTATCGAGGCAGGTATTCTTGTCCCCTTCCGCTGTCTGTGTGTTAAAAAATCCCCATCACTGCGAGAAACAACATAAATAACCTACGTGCCCAAGTTTTGACGTAGATTTGGATTGTGCAATAAGGCCCACGTTGTTCTTTTGGTGGATTATTATGAAGATCCACCACGATCAAAACAACTTGGAAAATCCCAGACTTGACTTCACAGGACTCTTATGCTCTCATTTTCTGACAGTGTGTCAGAGTTGTTTGGCCACATCTTTTAATTCTGGCAGCAGCATTTGCCAGTGACATTGGCTTCACCAACTTACTGCAAATCTGAAGCTTTACCATGTTGAGTGAGTTCCTCCAGAGCTCAAGTTGTCAGGGTTGACCTCTAGGGCGCTGATTAAATTACTTGTCATTTTTATCAGTGAAAGTCGAATCACACAGTCGACATATATCTGTTGCTGGTTGTTATGGCATTTCCATTTGTGGAGAGCTAGCCATTTTAGTGACAGTGCTCGCCACCCTATGTGCACATCTTCCAAATCAAGTTACGCCCTGACACTATTTTGCGTGGACTCTGCTGCGTCCTGGCCTGAGCGCTGCCCAAGACAATTGTGATTGGTTTTAAGAAATATAAACAAGCCAAAGCGTTTTTCACCTATAGCAGAACGATAATGTCTGCTTCCAGAGCTTTCCCTCGTGCTGATACAGCGATGCAGAGATCAATCTGGCAACATGAGACGATTAGAAATCTAACTTTCTTTTACAACTCTAACCACAGTGTTGTTCGCAGCATCTTACAAAGCTTACATGTTTGTGTTTACACAGTGTAATTGTGACGATTGCTCCTTTGTTGGTCACACTAAGTTGTGCCATACACTATCCGTAGAAAGAATAGCACCCTCCCCCATGGGGAGTGAGAAGCTTTGCGAGCAGACACCTGCGTCGGTGAGCAGAGATGAAAGCCCTTCTCTGGGGCCTCCCTCTGTCCTGATCAAAAGGCCTGGAGTGCTGCTCACTCTGCCGCTACGGGGCCACTGTCTTGTTGTTTTTTGGTTGTTTCTTTGGGTGGCAGAGGATCAAAGCTGGTAACAGTTAGCTTTCGCCTGCAGAGTCGAGCCTTTTCGTCTTGCTGGGGGGGATGGGTTCCCTGCTGGGGGGAGGAAGAGCCCCCTCCTCCCTCAGCTTCCCTTCTGATGGTTTACAGACTCCAGAGTGAAACAAGGAGGCCGGTTGAAGCTGTCATTTTCCACACATCTTTTCCACTACGAGAGCTCAGTGTTGATCCTCACACGTTGCCTCTACCCTTACCTCTCAGCTCCTTCTCAAATGTTTCACATTTGTTTCTACGAGTGGTCTTGTAGGGGAATCAATTAAGTCAAAGGAGCCTGGAGAGGCTGAAGTGTGTGTGTGTGTGTGTGTGTGTGTGTGTGTTTTATCAAACAAAAGAACATAAATCAATAATTCTTGTGGAGAATTTGTGAAACATGGCATCCTGACTGAGGCCAGCATTGCTTTAAAATTCCTATGGTGATACTGATCAATATTTATCTTCGCTTGGTATTAAATTGTCTCATTGTTCACACAGGATCCTCCAGGTGGGTTTTCCAGCCAGGAGAAGACTGTAAGCCTGAAGAAGGAGCCTCGGCTTTCCCTGGGCATCACCATCGCTGGGGGGAGGGACTGTCGCAGTCGTCTGCCCGTTTATATCACGAGTGTGCAGCCTGTTGGCTGTCTCCACCGAGATGGCACCATCAAAAGAGGTACAAAGCAGCATCTGGTGATGTGTGATTCTGACCTTTTAATCAGGAATTTGTGCTAGAAATTTTAGTCTTGGAAATGTGTCTTTGTATCGTTATTGTCTTGGCGAGGGCTGCAAATATTTTTTCATCATTGATTAATCAGATTTTTTTTGTTGAAACACTTATCTAAAAAATGTGACCAATTTTTGCTATGTTTTGTCAATTGATCTTGAGAATGGGTTCAGTTCAATTTAGACGTTAAGTTAGAAACTTTGGATAAATAACACTGAACACAGCAACAGCAAGAAACTATTTATGGGAAAGTATTTACAGTCCAGTTTGCAAATTCATTACAATGTGACAGTTGGCCAAATAACAAAAGAACAATCCTCTTTTATCGTGCTTCTATTTAGAGGTACAATGTGTTGCTCAAGGGCACTTAAACGGAGAGGATGTGTGCTGAAATAAAGGCTTAACACCGACTTCTTTGGGATAAGTCTGGTTTCTAAACATTGTGGCCAGACTAACATTTTCATTTCAGAACTGCGTTAAAAATGAAAATGATCTCCATACTTCAGCACCGCTTCAGAAATAATCTCTGTCCATACTAACACACCTTAAAGCGCTTATCATATGACATATCACGTACAGTGGACATGCAAGTGCCGGGTGTAAACAGAAAGCAGATAATCTACTCGGCAGTTGGTTGCTTTGTTACAGAAAACACTACAGAGGAAGAAAAGTGATGAGGAAAGTAAGACCAAAGATTTCTTGGCTTGGTGAAACTGTTACCTAAAGTAACTTGAGTACTGCCCTGTTATTAAAGACTACTGGAGAGGGAGACACAAAGCCCTACAAGATATTTTCAAATGTCCAGGGTCCGACATTAACGGTTGCCCGAATGTCCGGGGCAAGTAAAAATAGCCGACGGGCCAGCAGACCCTGCGCAGACATGCCCGATCGGGCAAGCAGCACTGACTCGGAAACCCACACGTACCAGACAGCCTCTCAGTCCTTAGTCGCTAACGTTAGCTCATGTACAACACAGGTACCACACAGAAACTTTTACAAAGGGTCATAATGTGCTTCTAGTGACTGTCAAATCGCCAGCGAAAGTTGTTTTAAATGCAGACACGGAAAGCAGCTGTTAGTGCCTGCTCTCATGGAACAAAGATCCTCTAAGAAAGACGGTTCACTCTGCTCTGCCGTCAGGAACAAACTTGGAGGCAAAGATCCTCTCCGAGGAAGAGGGTTCACTTTGCTGCAGGGTTCACCAAAATGTTTTTTGTTTTTTTCTTTTAATAAATTGAACACACATTACAGAACATACAAGATTCTGTAGAGAACTAATACATATAATACAATACAATAAACATTGTCAAATTAAATGAAGGAAGAGGATTTTTTTAAAGTCAAATAAAATATTGGGGATTCATGTAAAAATATACATAGAGACATATAAATAATTATATAATTAAAGATATGTAGGCTATGTTAGGTGAATACTCCTGTCAGTGACCCTGACCACTGGCATTGGCAAAAGAGCTGGAGTTGGTCCCTGGATGCTGCACTGCAGCTGCCCACTGCTCCTAGTGTATACAGTAGGATGGGTCAAATGCAGAGGTCAAATGTACAGTATGTAATGTGCTGAGAAGGGACAATAAAAAATCTTCTTCTAATAATAATTTCTTAATAACTAGGAGATAACAAAAGAATAAAGAGATTTCAAAGACTTAAAAAATAAGGGACATGAATCAAAACAACAAGAAACGAGATATATCTCCAGTCATGCACACCCAGTTTTAATAAACTCAGTACTGTTTTTCAACACATATATTGTTTTGTCTTCATTCAGTGTAGTTAGCACATATTCTTATTGCGCCATTGGTTTTGGCCTTGGTGCCCCACAGTTTGGCCGTGATGCCTCAATAAATTTGTATTTATCAAAGGCCAAAGTGGCCTTGCCCTAAAAATATCTTAACTCCAGGCCTGTAATCGTGTATTTCCTCTCCTGTTTCTGTCCTCGGAGGTGCCAGTTGCAGTGTGCTGCTTTTTTATGTGCTGCTGCCTCCATTGGCTGAGCGTCTCTGCTGACGTAAGATATAAGTCATGAGCGAAAATATGCACCATACAGCCAGAAAAAGAACCTCTTAGGCAGGGCAAGTAAGAATTTAGATAGGGCAAGTAGATTTGAGAGGTACTTGCCTGGCAGGGCAAGTAGGAAAAAACCTTAATGTCAGACTCTGCATAATGTGCTGTGCCACTAGTGAGTAAGTTTATATTTTTTGGGTGTATACCTCAGGAATAACCAAAAAGTGACTAATGGATGATGAATATAGTGCTGGTGGGTGGAAAAAAGGACTCTTACCAGGAAATAGCTATTGCAGGAGAGCCCAACCCTAAAAGTATGGATCGACATTACAATGGACATTTACAAAATGGAGAAGATAACAGCATTTGTCAACCATAAAATAGAACAGTTGGTTTCACACTGGGATAAATGGGTCAATCTGATGAATGCACACAGTTGAGGTTTAATGTTAAATGCCAATAAAAAGTAAATTACTAAAAAAAGAAACACAAGTATAAGGCGGTCAAGACAGTGGAAAACAAAGACTGTGAGTCATTATAAAACAAATATGGCAACATGTTAGTGGATCAGGAGCATTATCCATTGCTGGAGGAAGCCATGACAATAAATAAGTACACACACAAGAAGGATGAAAACACAAAAGGTATGTAGGCCTAGCAATGTTTTGACATGACAAGCTGTCACTGATAAGACCCAATCAGGAAGTGAATGAGGGTTCCTGCATCATCGTTTTTAAAACGTCTCTGTTTTCACCTGTCCAGACTAAAATATAGCCGCAGTGTTTTTAAATTAAAACAGGGTCAGCAGGGCTTTGAAAGGTCTCTGTTTGGTCTGTCTCTGTTGTGTAGCCCCAGAGTACGTCCACATTAAGCTGGTTAAATTTGTAAACGCTTCCTGTTCTCTTGGTTTCAGCCCTCCATCCAGACTAAAACTGTTCTTCTCCTCATGAAAACAATGGTGTTTTCTTGTTTAGACAGCTTAATGTAGACAAAGTCTTAGTTTCTTAGTCTAATTCATCTGGTTGAACTGACATCAAATTAAGTTCACCCCTAAGTAAAACAGTCAAATGAAAAACTGTTCTTCATGTTGAACCCAGAGATCCTCCTAACTAAAATGTCTGCTCATGTTGATCACGTCATCTGTGTCTCCACAGGTGACGTTCTGCTCAGCATCAATGGTGTCGATCTGACCCAGCTGACCTACAGCGAGGCAGTCTCTGTGCTGAAGGCTCAGACAGCTCAGTCCCAGGTGTCACTCCGCGTCATCCAGACCCTCTCCGAGGAGTCAGAGGACGACGCAGAGGCTGGCAGCAAGGACGAACTGGACACTCTGGACGACCCACGAGACGACACCCTCAACTGGACGCCGCTGTGGACTCGCTGGCTGGGATTACCAAGGTAGAGCCAGAGTTCTGCTTCTGTACTTCAAGTGTGCTCTGTTCGTTTGTGTGTGAAAGAGCCAGCTCTGACTCTGGCCTTGTTGTTTCAGCCCCATGCACTGGTGTCGGGACATTGTCCTGCAGAAGACCAACAACGAGAGCTGGGGCTTCAGTATCGTCGGCGGCTACGAGGAGAGCCACGGCCAGCAGCCTTTCTTCATCAAAACCATTGTGCCTGGTACCCCTGCTCACTTTGACGGACGCCTCAAGTAAGTAACAAAAACACATTTTCCCTCTACACTGTTTTGGTGTGTAAAAATAGTTCCTGCATTAACCTGCTCACAACAAAGTCTTTGAAGTACACGCAGTAATCAGCCCCTGCATCGTTTCATCACTGTCCACATTAACGGTCTGTGGTCCCCTCCAGGTGCGGCGATGAGATCGTCGCGGTGAATGGAGCCACAACAGTGGGAATGAACAACTCCTCTCTCATCCCCATGCTGAAGTTGCAGAAGAATAAAGTCACGCTGACTGTGGTGTCCTGGCCTGGGAGTCTAGTGTAGCAAAAACACACCTGCACATTCACCCTCCTCTTTTAATTAGCCTCTTTAATTATAGCGCACACACAGATCCTCGCCCTGCTCAGCTGCATTCCTGACTGGGCCACTCACTGTCCCTTCCATATGTAACTCACTGCTTGGTTACATTGTTCAGTCTGTTGATCAGTAGTGTAACATAGAACACATGTGCTCAAGAACCATTTGGTGTACAGTGGGAAAGACTCCCCTGAGCGTGGACTCAGCAGTGACCTCCTTGTTTCAGTGTCCTCTCACACTCTCACACAGATGATTGAACAAAATGGGTGTAATCAGGGTGCAAAGATGATGACAATCAGTGGATTATATCCTTAAGGACAAACTGAAAGGATAGTTTGTTTTTGGAACATCTTTTTGATCCTTTTCTGAATACTTTATATTTTACTTTCCTGTTATCATTTGTTAGTCTTGTCTTCACCCAAAGATGAAATGTAGTGCTTACCATATAAGTAGACAGTTGTGATGAAGAATTATAGATGACTACATATAACACGATGGCTGCTAACCGTACAGACTCATGCCAAAGACAGATAAATCCTCCTGTCCTGAAGCTGTGGGAACACAAGTGTAGTTTTATTAACTCTATTTTGTTTCACTTTTAAAACGTGCAACAGAATGATGAAGCCGGTTCAACATTGACTCTATTTTCCCATGATTTTATGTCTAAGTGAGTAATGGAGACGACAACAAATTTTTTTAACTGGTCCCGTATTGAGCAAGAGCGCTGCAGGCAAGGAAACAGGCTGCAGTGTAACTAATGGGCACATCACTGTCAATGTACATCCATTAAATGTGCTTGTTTTTACCTTCGACAGGCTCAGATTAATAAGTCCCGTTTCCACCAAACACTTTCAGTATGGTACCTTTGGAACCACCAGTAACCCTTCAGACATGGTACCTAGACCCCAGCATCTTAAATGTGGGCGGGGTTGTTGTCACTCACTGCTCCGTCCAACACTCTCTGTATTTCCTCATTACCGGTCACACAGATGGAAGTCTGCACCTCGTTGATAAACATAGCGGGTTTGTGCATTTAGTCCTCAGCTCAAGCTCAGGGGTTTAGTGCTGCCGTAGCCCTCACTGAGCGGGGATTAGAATTTATGCTGGTTACGTAATCCAGTCGAAATTAATATATATAAACCCTTGAAGATCCACTCATTACTAAAAGTGTATGTCATATAAAAACTAAAGTAATGGTCAAAGTTGTCACAGTGAAATTTAAGTTATGCAAAACCAGCTACAACTCAGCCCTGAGCAGAGTGACCGTCCTCTATTGACCAATCAACGGACTGCAGTGTTCACAGCTCCACCTTTTAGTACCAGATCTGTGTGCTAGGTACCCCAACAGAGGGGGGACCAAAATGGGGACGGTATGGAGCGGTTTCATTGGTGCCATCCACAACTTTTCACAGTGGAAACTGAAAAAATGTGTACCTAACAGAGCGGTACTGTACCATACCATACAGCGTTTGACAACATTATTGGAAAGGATCACTACAGAGGAAAACCTTTTTTGTTCAAGAGCAGATCCTTTTTGTTAAACCAGAAACAGTTCTGAAGTTGCTTTTGCTAAATCTACCAGACTCCAATTCAATAAACTGTAATTTCATCATGGTAAAACACGCTTCATTCAAAGTCGGCAGAAACAATAAAAAGCCACAAAAACTGTCTTGGTTATTTTTTGCACTGTTCCAACTATTACCGACCAACCGAATTTGGTTGAAATAAACCTTTAATTCACCCACTTATTTTGAAAATATGCTGGCTCTGGTTAAAAAGAATTGATCGTACCTGTAGTGTTCCCTTTCCATACGGTACACAAATGCCCCGAGTGTTTACACTGCAGCCTGTTTCACAGTGGTCTTGCTCAATACTGGACCAGTTTCAAAAATGGTTGTCTCCCTTAGTCACTTAGACGCAAAAAATATGAGGATAAAGGGTCCAGGCTGAAAAATACAAAAAATTCCTGTAAAGCTGCAAAAAGAGAATTTGGTTTTAATAGGAAGGTTGTTGTAAAGCCAGAGAAAAGACCTGCTGTTGCTTTTAGTTTGACACTTTCATACAAACACAGACAGAAATGACCAGTTTAAAGGGGCCTAAAGAGTCTGAGATATCTGAGCCCCAGTCCTATCTAAGCCATAAAAGAAATCAGTAAAATATAACACACTCCTAAACTCAGCAGGAAACCTGTGCAGAACATTTAATCAGGATTGCTTTGGAAGGAAACAGCTTGGGTCCAAGTCTATTTCCTGTTCCTGCTCCTGATTTAAATTCTGCAACAGGACATAAACTTTTAAAATGTTTAAAACACTAAGCTGGTCAATAGAAGCATCTCTTAATCAAAAGTGTTGTTAGTCTATAAATAAGAAATTCAGCCGACGTGTCCATTGACCAGTGCTCTGTATTTATTTTGACATGACATCACACTGAACTGACTCTGATAAATGGGTGCCTTGTCGACATTTGAAGGACAAACCAGAATGTACTTGCCTTAAACTTCCACTCTACCATAATATGTCCCCCCCCTCCCCTCATTAAGAACTGTTTATAGCAGCCGTGTTCAGATAAATTTGTGTTACCTCGTTCTTTTTGTGTCAACACATTCCCAGTGGCCTTTCTCGTGTCTTGATTGAGACAAAACTTATTGAGTAATACATGTAAGATTTTGTTTTGGAGTTGGAGTGGTTGTGATATATACAGTATATATACAGTAGGTAATGAGTGTATCAGCCCATCCACTGTTTCATTATGTTCAATAAAATTATACCAAATCAAGCTGTTCTTCTGTTAACTGCGCTGCGGGGACGGGGACAGATGGAGTCTGGGTTTTTCGCAATTTTGAATCTCAAATATTTTATCTTATTCATCTAAAGTGACAGGAAAATAATGAAGAATCGCTGCAGCTCATATGTTTACATGAATGTAATGTTACTGGGCTTCACACACTGCTATTGGTCCCAGTGTCATAATGGTGAGACAGATCAGAGGGGTTTTGTTGTGCCACGTTCCTGAATAGATTACAAACTGTTCTTCTTTTTTAAACAGTTGTTTATTAAATTACTCGGCCTACATGAGTCAATAGTTAGGTGTCGAAGTTTCAGTGCCCCTTTATGGATATATATATACACAGGTGAATGCCTTTCTAAATGGAGAGATAGACAATGATCATGAAAATTAATTAGATAAATAAGTAATAAAAACAAATTAATGACAATATTAATAATAAAAATAATAAAATACATTAATGAAAAAATACAAATAAATGAAAATAAATAAAATAATGAAAAAATGTAAAAATATATATATATATTTATATTTTATATATACTTGTGTGTGTATGTATGTAACAATAATATTACTCATATGTATTTTTTACATATTTTTTCATCATTTTATATATTTATTTTTATTTATTTCAGGCATTCGGTTATCTGAACTTATGATGCAGCTCATTAAAAAAACATAAAAATTTTAAAAGAATTTAATAATAATAAAAGTATATAAGTATAAGTGCAGATGGCTGAATGCCTGAAATTCTTTACCCCAGTGGTTATGTCCAATATGTGGTGATGTCCAATAAAGTGTACAGTCTGTTCATGGCTCAGTCTGACCCCTAGTGGACAGACACTGTACAGACAAAAGAAGTGACCCAGGCTCCCTCCTTTCTTACTTTAGAGTCTCTGTGACATTAATATTTTTTTCTTTCTTACACGAAACCTAAGCTCAGCAGTCCTTACATGAATATGCAAAACTAAAGCTGACCAGACTCATGTTTGTATAAAGTATGCACACCATCTGTGCACAGAGAAACTGTATTACATAAGCTGTAGGTGGTTCAGAGTGTCTGAAGGGAGGACTGAATGTACAGTTCAAGTTTGTGAATATCTGCATGTCCAAACACACACGACAATTTACAGCCTCTCATCTTCTGTCACACATCCACCCAGACAGACGTTTGTTTGTGCATGCAAACACACAAGACCGAACAACCAGTACAACTTGCTGCAGAAGTGGCTTGCACAGTGCCTTGAAAAAGTATCAACCTGCCCTTGGCGTTTTGCCTTTTTTGTTGCACAACAATCTGTAACTTAGATGGATATTAATTTGGATTTTATGAAACAGACCAAAAAAGTCAGAGTTGGTGAGGCAAAGAAAAAGATTTGTTCACCTTTACGTCTATACATCACATGATTAGTAAAATTAAGTCCACCTGTGGGCAGTCTACGTGTCACATGATCTCAATACACACCTGCTCTGAAAGGCCCCAGAGTCTGCAGCACCATGAAGACACAAACACGTTTGGCCCTGTAAAGTCACTGAAAGTCACACAGAAACTTAAGAGTCACATGCTGCGTGAGTTACCAGTGGTGGAAAAAGCACTAGGGTAATAGTAGCAATGTACAAACAGGAGCACAAGTCCTATATTTAAAGTTCTATTAAAGAGACAGTTCACCCCCAAACCAAAAATACATATTTCTCCTCTCACCTGTAGTGCTGTTTATCGGTATAGATAGTTTTAGTGTGAGCTGCAGAATGTTGGTGATATCAGCCGTAAAGATGTCTGTCTTCTCTCCAGTATAATGGAACCAGATGGCACTCAGCTTGTGGTGCTCAAAGTGCCAAAATATACATTTTAAAAACTCAGCAGCAATGTCTCTTTGCAGAAATCATGACCTGGTGACTCAGGATAATCCACAGACCTTGTTGTGAGCTTTTCATTTAGGAACTATTTTCTTTCTAACTACACCTGCCAACCGCATCACTGCCCAGAAGGTCGCGTGCATCTACTGCTAGCCGAGGACACCAATAATGTTTACATTATTATTACATTTCGTACTGTCCCAAGCCTCTCGTCCATGAGTAGATGCATGCACATCTCTCCTTAGCGTGGTGGTAGATTCACTACTTTCTGAGTCAAATAGTTTTTCAGTAGCGAATCTGATTAATTGGCTGAGTTGTGGGGTAGCATCCACAAAAGTTGCAAGCTTCTGCAGAGGTCTGGATAAAAGTAAGGATAATAAAATGGAGGATAAGTAATATGACTGACACCAGCGCCACACCAAGGCATGTAGACAAGTGAAGCACTTCCACATGACGTCACATACTAATCCTTAAGTTTATTCTGCTTACTGCTTTCGCTATTGGATTTTCTTGGCAAAAACCAGCCCTACTCTACCTCTGATTGGCTACATTGCACTTCTTGACATGTCTCTCACTTGTCTTGCCCATAGACTGTATCTATTTAGTGGATTTGCAGTGGACACCAGAGAAATAGACGTAACAAGGGCCAAGAAAAGAGCCAGAAAGGAAGAGAACAATATTAAGAAGGAAGAGAAAGTGACATACTGATGTCTCATGTTATTTGCAGGACATGTCCATGTTTTAAAATTTTAATTTTCTTTTAATCAAAGTAGGTTTGCAATTTTCTCGTAGCCTAGCTTGCTACATTTCTCTGGAGATAGCTTCAATGTAGTGAAACTTAAGTTCGATGTAGAGTAATTAGTAGCTTAGTTCACTACATTTTCCAGGAAGCTTGCCCAACATTGGATGCATGTTTACTTCTGCGCTGTGATACAGCTGGTGGGTGTGCTGGGTGTAAATATAGTGAGGTAAAAAGTACAATATTTCACTCTAAAATGTAGGAAAGCAGAAATATAAAACATGATAAACTGAAAATACTAAAGGGCAAGTGACTTTGTGTTTAAAATTTCCCCCAAAATGAATTTATCATAAGCATGGCTATGGTTATGACTCGTACTACTATTTATAATTCCACTCCAAATGAAATAAAACTAGTGGTGGCAGCTTATACTATTGAGGCACTGGTGTAGTAAATGGTTCCTGAAACTCCAGGCTCAACAGGGACAGACTGTGAATGTGAAA